TTGCTACTCAAAGATTAGCACAAGAAAAATTCTTACCATTTGATAATCCAGAATCATATGAGGCTAGAATCCGTCCTCTTTTATTAGGAGTTGCTGATGGTGATGCCAATATCTTAGGACTTCTTAAGGGCCATTTATCGGGAGAGCTTTATACTTGGATGAAAATTGCTAATCCTCTTGGCATTAATGCATTTTTTACAGAACTTAAAAATATGTGGTTAGAACGTCCTCCGAATTTGTATAAAGGCTCTATTCCTGACCAAATCTCTCAAACTCCAACTGTTAATATACAAAATAAATCACATTCTGATAGTAGTGGTATATCTCGAGCTGAACTAGATAGTATGATAAAATCACAATTAGCTTTAGTACCAACAACTTCTATTCAGTCTTTACAGTCTCAGCAAAAGCAACCCGATTTTAGTGACTACCTTAGAGTACCAGATAAATATATGCCAGAAAGACCACCAGATGGGTATGGCGTAAATTCTGAAAAATTTATTCATTGTGATCTTATAAACCCAACTCCTTCAGCCAGCCAAATTATAGAATCTTTAGCTAATGATCTTTATAAAAAAGTGTTAGATATGTTTTCGGCAAAGCCAGTGCAATCAAAGAAAAATATTGAAGTCGACTCTGACGAAGAACTGGCTGATCGTATGGGTAAGTTATCAATAAATAAGGCTTTATCGAAAGGTTTCGAGACAGGAGTTCATGCTGTTATCAAATCATCCAAACACTGTTGTTCGAATTGTAATAGAACTGGACACAATTCTCGCAAGTGCCTTAGAAAGAAAAAATCTAACTTCAAGAAATCTAGCAAGAATAAAAAAGATAAGATTAATACAGTTACTTTAGATTTGGGTTCTGATTCAGGTTCAGATACTAATAGCTCTTCTGGTGATAACTCTGAATCTGATTCCGAGAATACCCCCTCTGATGCCGAATCAGATCATAGTCTTAATATACACGTCTCTAAAGCAAAAAAAAGTAAAGAAAAAACATAGCACCAGTACTTCTTTACAGAAGAAGAAATCAAAGACTCACAAGTCTTATAAGATAAAAGACGCAGAAACATCTTCTTTAGTATCAGTTCCTATTTTCAAGAAGGAAAAGCAAAGTTTAAAGTCCCAGTCACAGGATGAACAATCCCGCTTAGAAAAAATTATTGAAAAAATTATTGAGAAGAAGCTTAATGAAAAGTCTAGCACTATTTCAACCTCTCTTTTCAGCCAAAAGCTGAAAATTCTAAAACATCAGCCGATTCTGGGGATGATGAGTTCATCGATGACCCCATGGAAATAGATTTTGTTCAGAGAAAAGAACCCGCTACAGATGTTGTCACTACTAAATGCAAGATCAAACGATTAATAATCCCAGCAGCCACAGTAGATCCTGGAGCAAATTTTCTAATTATGTCTGAAAATATAGCTGAACGATTAAAATTAGATATTGATACAAGGGAAAAACATGATCTTAGAGGTATTGCTACCGTTCCTACTGAATCACTTGAAATTGTTCGCAATGTACCAATAAATTTTGCCCAAGGTTGTACTATATGTTCTGATTTTGCAGTAGTTAAATATCCCAAACCCATGCTAATTTTACCAAATACTCTCCTAGATAAATATGATTACGATTTGCTCGCATCGAAACGTGAATTAAAACTCATATGTAATAGTAAAGAGTATTTTATTCCGATAAACATGCATAAGGTTAAGAATAAGCTCGAAGTAAATTGTGCAACTGTAGCTCAGAATAATACACCTCTGAAACTGGATCAAAGTTCACAGAAGGTGGGTGATGGTGAAGATGTAAATATACCATCCAAAAAGTGGTGTGCTTTTGCCGGTTTTAGCTTAGATTCTGTTGATTCGTCATTAAAAAAAAACGCATGACCTATGAGGAGTTAGAAAAAATGCTATATAGTACTATAGAGTCTAAAGCTGAAATAAATGCTCTTTGTGAAAAGTTGCAAATATGTTATGAAAAGCTACTTGAACACATCTCCTCTAGAGATAATAGCAATAATAAATTAAGTAGCTAATAGATGATTCATAATTGCTTTATTTTTCTCATCTCTTTTTGCTTCTTTTTCATATAATACATCCAGTTCCTCACTACTTATTTTTTTTGTAGAGTCATTAGTATTAACTGGTATTGAGTTATAGCTAGGTATTGGATCAGATATACGAACAGATTTAGACCGAGATTTGGAACTTCTCTTTTTTATTTCTGCATTAAGAGGAGTGGTAGATTCTGAATATAAAGTCTTTCTTTCGATTTGATTAAAATTTTCAGATGAAATTGCTGTAGATATAGGTAATATTTCAGTGGAAATAGTACTTTCTATTATTTGTTGTTGGCGCTCTCGATCTTCCCATATATCATCTACTCGATGTTCATTAATATGGAAATCTCTCATAATTCTATACTTAGGTATCTTATCTTTGAGCGATCTAATTGTTTCTATCTGCTCAGAAGTTAGATATGTAGATTTTCGGCGATAATATGATTTTA